ATCCAAGAAGAGAGTGGAGAACTGCTGCCAAGTAAGGGGCGCTTCTCCAACCGGCCTACGTCTCTCATACGCCTCCTACCAAGTGAAGGCAGCCCCAGAAAACTGAAAGGTCGTAAATGCCACACCACTAGACTCAAGAATCCTTGCTGTACGGAGCATCCGTTGGCACTTATCCAAGAAACCCTGGACATCCTCGCCCTCTGCTTCGCTAAATGTCGGAGGCTAGAGTCTACCAAACCTCTCAAGATAACGCTGCTCATCATCCGGCATAACTGGCACAACAAAATCCTGAGCTGGTGCAATCGGCTGGGATGGAGGTGCCCCCGGCGTCTGAAGTCCCTGCACTACCTGCTCAGGTGAGCGAGCAGCGGGGGTCTGATTCTCGGCCTGTGAAGTAGCTGCTGCTGTAGTGGCTGAAACTGCCTGAGCCAGGCCAGTGCAAACTGATAAGATCTGTGCCAAGGCCTCCTAAAGACCCGAAATCACGATGGGCACAGCTGGTGCCTGAACTGGTGCTGCTGGAGCATCCATAGCTGGAGCCTGATCTGGAGTTAGGGCAGCTTGTGGATCTACAGGTGTTGCCCTTGCTGCTCTGCCTCTGCCATGACCACGACCGCATCCACGACCTTTGGTGGTCTCAGCTGGTGCCACTGGTGGTCGTCCACCTCGTCCGATAGCTCGTGTCCTCACCATCTGTGAGAGAATGGAATAACAGAAGTTTAGTACTTGGACCAAGAAGTTCGAACGACAAGAATTTCAAGAATATAAAGTTTTTCCTAAGGGTTCTGCAGCCTCTCGAGGATAAATATAGACGTCTCCGTACCGATCCGTGAGACTCTACTAAACCTGCTCAGACTCTTGAGACCTATGAAACTTAGGCTCTGATACCAACTTGTCACGACCCTAACCCCGAACCTGATCGTGATGGCGCCTCTCGTGAAGACAAGGCCAGCCAGACCCAAGCAGAACACCTCGTTTAAACAACTAAATACCATAAATATTCTAAAACATGATATAATAATCATAATTTGCGGAAGTAACGATAACAATAGTAGAAACCATCCCGACACAACCCAAGTCGGGGTGTCACAAGTCATGAGCAACTAATAAATTCGGATACCGGTCTATTAGATACGAAATCCAATACAGAAGTTCAAGGACATAAAAATAGTAAGATAAGGGAGGCACGGGGCTGCAGACGCCAACAACTACCTCGTAGTCTCCAAAAATACTGCCTGGACTGGGAGGATCAGCACTCAGGAGCGGACTCTGCGATGCCTGAATCTGCATACACGGTGCATGGAGTAATGTGAGTACCCCGACTCAGTGAGTAATAATCATAAATAATGGCTGAAAGCAATAAAATACATAAAGGCACAAAACAATTGTATATCAAGCAGTAAAAATCACTTAAAGTAGTAAATCAGTGAAGACGACAAGTGAAATCTCTTTAAATCAGGTAAAACGGTAATTTAGCAGGTAAGTAACAAGCAGAAATCCACCCCTCGAGCACAATGTTAATCACTTAGAAAAATATCAGCGCCTCGAGCTCACTCTCATCACTTGGTGCTCATTCTCAGCTCTCGACCCATATATCTCTCATAATAACAGAAATCAGAATAACCGCTACGGTGTGCAGCCCGTTCCGTACATCGCTGCGGCGTGCAGCCCGATCCATAAAGATAGTCGAGTGCGCTCACTGGGGGTGTGCATACTCCGGAGGGGCTCCTACAACCCAAGCGCTATATTGCTGCAGCGTGCAGCCCGATCCATATAAGTATTGCAGCGGTGTGCAGCCCGATCCATAACATATATAATATCCTCACCATTGGGTTCTCAACCCCTCTCAGTCATTAACCTCACAGTCTCTCGAGCACAATAATAGAAGATAGGGATCTCAGCCCACAAATTCCTCTCATTTAGGAATAGTATGACAAAACCGGCTCGAATCGTTTAAAATAGAGAGAAACATGAGCGAGGATACAATTTTTAACAAGTATAGTGAGGAAAATCAGTCAAAATCCCCGAAGGGTTCAAATAGTTAACACGAAGCCCAAATATGAAAATTAGCCCCAAATCATGATGATAACAAGTAAGTTTCAGTCAAATACGCGGTAAAATCACCAATCGGGACGGACCAAGTCTCAATCCCCCGTAGTAAAAGATCCAACGCTCATCATCGGGCGTATGTCTCACCTCAATATAGCACTACGATGTGTAATTCGTGGTTTCAAACCCTCAGAGCATCATTTACAATCATTGCTCACCTCGAACCGGCTAAATCTCTATCTCGTGACGCCTTTGCCTATCGAATCAGCCTCCACGCGCGTCGAATCTATCCAAAATCAGAACGAATACATCACAATAGGCTAATGGAACAAAGCCCAAGCAAAAACAATCGAATTACCACAAAATTCTAGAATTTGGTCAAACCCGACCCCCGGGCTTACATCTAAGAATTTGACAAAATTCACAAAACTCGAATCCTTATGCTCTCACGAGTCTAACCATATGAAAATTACCCAATTCCGATACCATTTGGTCCTTCAAATCATCATTTTACATTTTTGAAAGATTTCCAAATTTTCTTCCCAAATCACGAATTAAATGATGAATTCAATGATAGATTCATGTACTCTAGCGAAATCTGAATTAGAATCACTTACCCCGATGAATTTCTTGAAAAACCTTTGAAAAATTGCCAAAATCCGAGCTCTGTAGGTCAAAATATCAAATAAAACCCAAAACCTCGTATTTATAGAGTACCCCACAGATCTCGACCTCCGCGGGCCGCACAAAATCGACCGTTGTCCGCACAAAAATGACCGCGGCCGCACAAGCTTTTCTCTGCAATGATAGTCTTTATTATTTTAGCCATAACTTTCACTAGATATGTCCAAATTGCAATATCTTTACCTTTATGGAAACTAGACACGAAGGGCTACAACTTTCGTTTTTGAATCATCTCAAAATTCCTTGTAAATCAAAAGATATGAGCTTCCGAAGTAGGACCAGTGGAATGTTCTTCACCACGGCCGCACACCATTTTGTGCGGTCCGCACAGCACTTACCGGGCCGCACACCATTTTGTTCTGTCCGCACAGCACATACCGCAGCCGCACTTCTTTTTGTGCGAACCGTGCGGGTGAGTTCCGAGGCCTGCAACCCTTCTGGACCTGCTACAACTATGATTTTTGGCGTAAAACATCCCGGAACCTACCCGGAACTCCCGAAACTTCAAACCAATTGTACCAACACATCCCATGACATCGTTCAAACTTGTTCAAAACTTCAGAATGCTCACAACAACATCAATCACCAATTTAACATAGGATTCAAGCCTAAGAACTGCAATAACTCTTAAATTATGCTTTCGATCAAAAAGTCTATCAAATCTCGTCCGAATGACCTAAAATTTTGCACACACATCCCAAATGACACAACGAAGCTACTGTCACTCTCGGAATTCTATTCCGACACCTATATCAAAATCTCTCCTTTCAATCGGAACCACCGAAATATCAACTTCGCCAATTTAAGCCTAAATCTTCTCTACAACTTGAAAACCCATTTTGATCGCGCTCCTAACTCACAAATCACCTCCCGAAGCTAACCGAACCATCGGAACTCACTTTCGAACCTTCTAACACATAAGTCAACATTCGTTTGACTTTTCCAACTTAAGCCTTCTTAAAAGAGACTAAGTGTCTCATTTCTTACCAAATCCTCTCCGAACTCGAACTAATCAACCTGATCACATAAAATACGGATAACGAAGCGTAAAGAAGGTAAAATAGGGGAAAACAGAGCGATAACTCATGGGACGACTGACCGGGTCGTCACAATTTGATATGAAGGCTACACAATAATTAAACAAAGCAGTCCAAATGCAAGTAAAGATGCTTCCAAGGGACAATTCCTATTAGGGGATAACTTACCTTCCTCTCATGCTAGGAAAGATAAACTTTTACACAATTCCAAGGAAGATGTGGTGAAATTGATATGAAGGATATATTTTTGCTGCATCAGTTATCCTTTGGCCATATATCAATATAAGTTCACCTTTAATTATGGTAGTATGTGTTACTTATAGCAACTGAAATAATAATATCAATTCTTCTTTTTATTTTGTTGGTACTCTTGATTTGGTAATATATAACGAATAAAGATGAATTGAATAATTCCTATTTCATGAATCATCACCAGAATTATAATATTGTAATAGCTCATAGAAATTGAGAAGGCGCAAATTGTTCTCTTATATGATCCTCATCAATATAGTATGTGGTTCTAAAAGGTTTATAATATGTGTAATAGCATCTTGTTTTTTAAAAGGATTCAGATATACTATAAAATAAACTTTCCTACTTAAGTATATTGTTGTCCATTGTTCAACTGAAAAGGTTTAAGGTGGATTTTGGACCATTATTAGAAAATAAATATTTGAAAAGTTATTTGCAAGAGTCTTTTAATGAATGTTCTTTAGTTCATTAGCAACCAATTGTATTTATAGTGGAGTCGTAGGTTGTTTGTTGGTGATGAGTCAGTTATTTTCCCTTGGTACTTTTCATTTTTTGTTTATTCAGTGATAATATATGTGTATGTGTTATGTATCTGTGAAAGTCTCTAGGCATGCTGCACTTATAATTAAACAAACCATATTGATGAAGATCACCTAATTACAATGCATGCATGTTATGGTAGCGAAGAACAATACTACTCTGTTAAACTCTTAAAACACAAAAATGATTAGCTACAACATTAAGCATGGCTAAGAAGCCAAATTGACCATGGTGAGTGCCTTTTGGCTTTATTTGTTTTCTGGCAAAGAAATGTACATTAGTTAGAGTGGTCTATAACATCTAGGATTTGTTTGTTTTTTGGTTGCAAATCCTGCTATTGATTGTCTTAAGAAAGTCTTACATTAGGTAGCACACACTATCATTCAGAGATAACTGGAGAAACATTATATTTGCTCTTTTTTTCTTCTTCCTGTGTAGTCTAAATGTGATATGTATGCACTGACATGACTTGAAGCAGCTCTCTTGAAGTATGTCACAAGCTTTGTTGATTCGGGATTCACAGGAGATGAATACAGGAGTGGAAAACGTGCAGGAGAATTCGAAATTTGACTTACAAGAAGAAACATGTGTCTACTGAATACGTATCTGTGATTGTAGTTTAAGTTTGCTTTGTAATTTCAGTTTGTTCGGATTGTCGTTGACGAGGGGAGCTAATAAGAGATTTGGTGGGAATTTAATATGTAACACATATTATTCTTTTCATTCAATCACAACTATTACTGAGAAATTCAAAAATGGCCAGATTTACAAGTTGTCATTCAAAAATAGGCAAATTTACAAGTTGTCATTCAAAAATAGCCACTGTTTCAAAAATAATCGAAATTTAGCCACTTTTCATGTAAAGATAAATCTGAACGAAAACACTGTTCAAAATTCGAAAAATATTCCAACATAATATACTGAAATTCCAGTATAAGTATACTGGAACTCCAGTATATTGGAACTGGAGTTCCAGTATAATATACCGGTCCAGCATAATATGTTGGAAGTTCATACACAGGTGCTCCAATTTCTAGCATATTAGATTGAAACTTTTCGCGTGTTGGAGTTCCAACATAATATGCTGGAAGTTCGTACACAGGTGCACCGATCTCTAGTATATTATACTGTAACTTTTCGTGTTACAGCAAAATAGTGGCTATTTTTCAATGACTTTGCAAACACTGACTATTTTTGCATGACCCGTCCGAAACTGGCTAGCCCATGCTATTTTTACCAACTATTACTTATCCATCTTGAGCTCGGGCCCGAGCTCAGCACGGGCTAGCTCATGACTAGTAGTAAGATAAGTGTCTGCTAGAGTTGGATGGTTTTCAAAAATATAAAGAAGTATTAATTTTTGGACTAATTAAAGAAAAGGTATTTTGCAGAAAATGGATGCATGTAATTAAAATAAAGAATTACTACTATTTTGAAAGGAAGTCAAAATTGTGGTAAATATAATATACGATAAATAATAAATAAATCTTAGTTTTCTCTTCTTGAACATGAATTCTTTTTTTGTTATAACCATTCGACAAGTTTAATAAATACTACACTAATTATTAAAGATAAATTAGATAATGTTAGCGAGTAATACATGTATTAATTAGAGTAATATTAATTTATATCTCACCAAAGGGGGAAGAAAGGTCAACACTTGAGAGGCTTAATTCAAAAATTACCACATAAGTTAATTATGTAAATATTGTTTTTTGAGCAGGAAGCATTGGACTAATTAAACGTCCAACTAGCTGTACAAAAGTTTATATAAATACTAGTTTGCTTATACTTCTTTCTTTTGCTTCAACCATTCGATGTACGAAACTCAATGGTCTAATTAATTTGAATTTGCATCGAAAAACGTTAATTATTGGAGATTTATTTAGCGCTTCTATAAAAAAACTTTATTTTTAGAACTTCAATCCGAAATTTTTAATTAAGAATAGAAGAATCTTTGGCATTCCGTCTGGTGATATTTACTTGATAATTCTGTTAGAATATACTATAAGTCATGCGTATTGTTATAGTATTCTTTATGAACAATTATTTATTTACTTGTTTAAATTCAATAAAGTTTCATTTTAAATAGATCATGTGTTGGTTTGTGCGTCCATTGCTTACATAGTAGATGATTTAGTGTATAGAGTTTAGCTTATACACGGAAGATTAAATCATCGGTTCTTGTAAGACATAAAAGTTAATGTTCACAATCTAATGATGGAATTGGACAAATCATCGGAATGATTGTAGCACAAGATTAAATATAATTTATCTTGATTATGGGAATGGTTTAATTCCAACTTCTTGTGCTAGTACATTTTGTATGTATTGAACGGATCAAGTAGAGATGAGTATTTTATACTGACTTTATAAAATAATTTCTCTAGTCCATTTAATGTACTTATACTCTTAATCCTGATATAATTATTATTAGCTGTGTATGTCACTTGTTGTTTTGATTTATTGAAAGGCGAGATTCTTTCGCGAGTCAATAAGCCTGGTAAATTGGATAACAATGATATACATTGGCGAAGTAATAATTAGTTGATGGAATCCATGTCTCGATTTTGAGATTGATGATACTCCTTTATGAAAGCTTATAAGTTTTCATGTGTAAACCCGGCCGGTGAATTTTGTATCCGACACATGAAATAAGTTAAGTGTAAGTCTAAAGGAAGTAATCAATAAATTAAATAGTAAGTAATTTAATTTGATTGATTAGTATCTGAATCTTAACATGAGGAGTTAAATAAGGTTTTATGGAAGAATTTCGAAATTGAACTAAGGAGTGCAATTACGAATTTTTAGTAGAATAATTCGTAATTTATTATGATGGAAATTAATTTCAGAATTTCGAAATTAATATCATAATAGGAAGCCTTGTTAATTAAATTTTGTGGTCCTTACTGTGCCTAAATAATAGAAAATAGTGGGAACTGTTACTTAGTGGGAAAGAAAACATGGAAACCGTCCCTTAGTTGGAGAAGGAAACCTAACAGGTATTGAAAACGGTTTTGACCTAACAACGCAGCTATATAGATGGATATAAGGGCTGGACGTTTGGGGTATGATTCTGACTGCGGTTTCTACTAGAATTTTGCCCACTCAAAATTCTCTATTTTCGGTTATTGTTTGGGTAACACAGTAGAAGATTGTGGAAATCTACTGGTGTGTGGTATCAACTGAGGAACTGGAGAACGACATATTTGTTGTGTTTACGCTTCAAGAGGTAACCCTAAAATCTCCATACGTGCTAGTTGTTTAGATTACACGTGAATAAGATTCTGCTATTGCTTCCGCTGTGGTATATAATCCAACAAATTCAAACCCAAAAACCACTAGCAAATAAGCTAGTTGAGAGATTGCTAGCCACTTGTGACAGTCGATCGAGACATGCACAAAGATCTTAAGCTGTAATCAGTGGCAGAGCAACATACATTTAAAGGGTGTCAATTAATACTTTTTTGTCGAAAATTACATTATATATATATATATATNAAAACGATAGAAAAATCCTTCCGCAAGGCGACGACAATAGCTCACCCAACTATATCGAGAGGAACATCCTGCACCACATCTGTGTGTGCATATATAAATATATATACACACACACTCTCTCTCTCTCTCTCTCCCCGCTTGACATCTTCATGAATTTTTCTTTATATTTTGAATCTCTCTCAGTGGCGGAGTCACATTCAACAAAGGGGTGTCATTGACACCCCTTCGCCGAAAAATTACACTATATTAGTAGATAATTTTTTTTGTTTTATGCATATTTACTATACGTTGACTTCCCTTAAATTTTCGGTATATCTAATTTTTCTATTTTGATACTCCTTGATGAAAATTCTGGCTCCGCCAATGCTCTCTCTCTCGCTCTCTCTCTCTATATATATATTGACTTCGCTTGACTTCTTCGTGAATATTTCTTTATATTTTGACTTTGTTAGTAAAAATTCTGACTCCGCCATTAACCAGTAGTATGTAGTCGGCAGAGAATGAAAACAAGGAGCCCACATTTAGAGGAGTGATAGGAACCCTTAGGCACCATCAATATGTTTGGGGACAAAAGCCACTAGGTGTTATTACAACTTAGGTTACAACTAATAGTCTCATACTATATTATCTGTCGATCATGTTTTTTGTCGTTCTCTTATTGCCAGTGCTCCCTGGAAACTTAGAGAAATACGGAGATCTTAGAGCTGCTAGCATCCATTAACCCATCTTCTCAAATTCAGAAAAAAACAAAAGGTCTCTATCCTTCAATTGCACTATTAGATCCAGTATGATAGGTCAAATTAATGAATGAGTATCTAAGACATTAGCTACTTCTTTTTCACTAAGGGATGCATACTTTATACTCCTTTCGTTCTAATTTATATAAATACTTCCCTTTTTTTCCCCTTAAAATATAAATACTTCCTTGTACTTGATGTTTACATGAAACTAAACAATTTAATCATAACAATTAATAGTTAAGGTAAACAGATATTATCTAACCTGTAAGTTATGATTAAATGATAATTGCGTATATGAAAGACATATATCTTGCATTTATAATTTTTATAATTCAAACTTCACAATTTCAGCTTCAGTGTCTTGAAGTTTAATTTTTTCAATTCAAACTTAAGGTATACTCTATCTAAAGTTCAAATTGTGTAGTTCAGAATTCAGGCTTGTGTCCTGAAATTACTCTTTCTTCAATTCAGGCTATTGGAGAAAGAGAAGGAATAAAGAGTGTGAACACCTAATTTTTGCACTATTTTAACACCTCCTAAAGTTATTAGTGTTTTGTAATTTTAATTATTTTTCTCAATTTTTGTGTCTTTAATTGCATATTTCCTATCATAAAATACCAAAAAATAGTTCTTTTTTCATTTGTGCATTTTAGGAATTAACTAACTGTTCAATTGGTGAATTAATCTAGTTAATTGATCATTTGAATAAGTTATTTAATTAATTTATTTGTTTGTGTAAATTAAGCTTAATAAGTAGGATTAAGAATGAAATTGGGCCAAATTTGAAAGAGTGGCCAAAAGTGCAACATCAAGGCCAATTGAGGGGCTGCTAGTAGATCATGAACCGACGCAGTTTCATACCTAAACTACGTCGTTTTGATAAGTAAATGTAAGATCAAATCTCATCCTCCATTCTTTTTGATCCAATGGCTTAGATTCATTTCCCATTCCAAATTTAAAGCTCCAAAACCCTAGCCCCCTCTCTTCTCTCCACACTCCCTGTCACCGCCGCCCTTCACCATGGCGGCGGCGCTGTCCATCGCCGTCCTCCGGTGGCCAAACACCCTCAAACCAATGACAATCTCTTCCTCTCCTCTTCCTCTTCATGAATCCACGAACCAAATACCTTGAATCCCTCCAAAACTCCACGAATAAACCAAAATTCGAAACCTCAACTCACTTTATTTTGTAAATTCATCGAGTTTTAGACCTCTCCTTCATAAAATACTTACATAGGCGTGTAGAGCTCCACATGATGTATCATTCTATGTTGGTTTCACCCCAAAACTCTGACACAAACCCTACGTCTTCGTCCACCATCGCCACTGCCGGCTACCACCACCAAGTTGCCACGCCTTCCTCTAGTTTTCCTCCTCGACTCTTAAGCGTTCTTTTCTTTGTGATACGGTGATGGCGCCAAGGCTGTGATTTCAGGGATGGCCGAACCATCATCTATCACCAAGAAAAAGGTGCTCAAAGGTCGGAATCATTGCCTCGAGCAGTGGTAAATACCAAATCTCGTCCTTTTATTTTAATTTTTTTTGT